ACACCACATGTGCGCAGACGCTAATGAACTTGCATGTTTGCTTCAAGGAGCTGTACCTTTATTGAAGCTTTGCCTATTCTTTGGCGTGCTTTCAAGCTGAGGCTACTGTTCAAATGTGTGGACATTCAAAGGCTGCGCTGGGAGGCTTGGTGCTGCCAAGTACCTCGTGGAAGGAATAACAATCTCAGCAATTAGCAATCTCCCTTGAAACCCAGCCCTGACTCTCACACTGTTGGCGGCAGGGAAAGGAGCTGTGCTCGAAGCAACTCTCCTTGTGTGAGCTTTTGAGCAGCGGGAAATCAGAGGGACTGACTTGCTGATGTACAAAGGACAGAAAAGCTGCTGGAACTGTGACAAGCATTGGCAAAGTTTGGAAGCAGAGAAAGCCCAAAGCATCACTGTCCAATGGCCGTGACCAGAAGGATGTTCTAGCAAGCAGTGGCAATGTGTGATTAATAGAAGGAAGGACTGAATAAGGAAACATGGAGAAAATAATATTATTCTTGGACTGAGCCTGCATATTACATATAAAAACAGCATTCATCTTTTCCTTTTAGAATAAGTGCAGCAATATATTGAATATAACTTTCCTCTCAGCTGTGATAAAGTGTTTGGCACCTGGTGCAATGCTATGAGTCTTCTATGGAGGCCATCTCTTTGGTTTCCATGGTTCTTGCAACTTGTCAGGGGGTCACCTGGAAAGCAAAGTTATGGCATGGATCTGTGTCAGTCTGCACAGTGGGGGCATGAAATATTTACTCCACACAACCCTAATAGGAGTACTGGAGATCAGATTTTATGGTTGGATCCTCAGTAACATTCCTATTAGGTGCTTTCCACACCTTTCTGTCTACCGTGCTGCATTTATGCATAGTCACACATGCAGAAATAAGTAGACTTAACTAAGCACAAGCTCAATTGCCGCATAGCTCTTCAGTTATGCAGCAAGAGAGCCTTCAGAAGTCTGTGAAGGTTCCAGGGATTGTTGGTGTTTCCATTGCAGAGCTGAAAGTGAGCTTTAGATTTGGCTCTACATGGGGTGAAGAGCATAGGCAATGCCAGCCATGCTTCCACTGGTAATAACTACAGTGTCTGTTAGCTTTTGCTAATCTGTCCAGATGAGGGAGGACTGTCCAGTCTGACCTGCAGTCCCAGAAAGTAAATGCTTCCTGTGAGGCCAGGTATTACTGTTTATTATTTAATATGGAGAATAATAACCTTTGTTGGTGAAGTTTATAGCTCTAGGATGATCTATAATAGTTGTAAATGATTTTTACAAATTAATATTGCTTTCTTTCTAGCTGGTGCTGCCTTTAGATTCAGTTCAATACAGTTCACTCCTTCCTTCCTCTGGGAAGTCAAATCTTTCTGCTGCCTGCAGTGGGGAAGGAAGGCAGGGGAGCCTGGCAGGCTCATGGGGAACTCAGGGCACAGAAATGTTCTTTCTTCACATCAAGGATCAGGCTGTCATCCACAGAAGAGCTATTGGCAGATGCAGTGTCCAGGCCCATTTGTCTCTGCCAGATGGTGCAAAAATACAAGTCTGAAGCACATGTTGCTCTATTCAACAGAATGCTGTGCCATGCTGTGGCCTCGCTGCCTCTGAACCAATCAGCCTCAGCCAGTGAAATCCCAGTGGCTAAGGACCTAGTAGCCCTCAGCTAAGCCCCTGTGCATGGCTTGTGGGAGCTCAGAGAGACCCAGCTAGGAAGGCTCACAGCCCTGTGGGGACAGACAATAGCATGCTAGAAGAGAAGGTAGGGGTTAAAGAGAGCTTAGCGCATATGAAAAAAAGGTAAATATTTGACCAAAAAGCAGAAAGAAGGAATAATGGAGAGAGAAAGACTGGAGAAGGAAGCAAAAAGTATTAAGACAAGGAAAAAGGAGGATGATATTCTGCCAGGAAACAAAGGGATAGTTGTGTGAACAAAGCACTGGGGAAGCACTGGGGAAATGAGGGTTGAGCTCTGCACAAACTTTCTGTCTGACACTGGACAAGTCAATTCTCTCTGTCTCCATTTGCAAAGACTACAGTGGGAACAATAAAGTCTCCTTTGTTCTGCCTCTCTCTGCTCACATGAGACGTCTCTTCTGTTTGCACACTGTAGAAAGGCAAGAAGCTACTGTACTTCAAACAAAAAATTAAGTCCACTGGGGCTTGGTGGGGGAAGAAGAGAGGTAGGAAGGCAAATAGGCTGTGATAAGCCCAGGATATAAAATTTGAGAAAAAATGAAAGAAAAAAGAGACATATAGGAGAGACCTTTATTAAGGGAAGAAGAAAGAATCAATATGGACCGGATTAATCCTACTGTGTTGCCTCTTGGACTCCAGTGGAGCTCCTCAAGGGGTGAGTTTAGCCTAAGGAGTTCAGTTTTGTTTGGTTAAAGAAACTGCATGCCAAACTTTTTAAATAGTCAAATCTGTTCTGAGAACTATGAGAATGTGGGCTTTCGTGAAACGTTGCATAGGACTTAGGATGAACAACTCCTGCTGAAGGCAACAGGAGCCAAGTGATTAAGCCCCATGCAGTGCTCTGACAGGAGGCCTTCTTCTAGCCTACGCATACGTTTTTCAGTATAGAAAGTATTTCCATATTTCCTGCAGCTGATCTTTATTTGAAGCCAAAAGCACACTGCATTTTTTCAGATCACAGTTAAAGCTTTTCTAGGAAGAGCAACTCCGGATCAGACCAAGGGTCCATGTAGCCCAAGACAGTATCTCCAACAGAGGCTTCTGACCTCTGCTTAGAGAAAGAAATAGAGAAAGAAATCCTAAATCCTGTGAGACTCCTTTCAGGGATAATTTATATTTCACTCCAGGAGTTAGCATTTGGCTTCCACTCCAAAGACTGAAGGCTTATATTCTTTCCAAAACTCTTGTTTGTTTTCTTAATCTTTACAGTTCCCTGGAGTTGTTTGCTGTTTGCAGATCTGTGGCCCACTGGGGAAGCCCTTTGAGCTGCTGACCTGCATGTCCTGCAGCAGCAAGTTCCCTGGGCATCTGGGGCATTTGTGCAGGGAAAAAAAGAAAAATTTTCTTTTATTGGTTTGCTGCATTTGATGTAGAAACGTGCCTTAAGCTTCCCATCTTGCCCAGCTGGCTTCTCATTACAGCATCTCACCTAAAACTGTGAGATGCTTCTGCTGCACAGGGAATCCCTGCTAGGAGATGAGCTGTGCATTTGCAACGTTGATCTGCCCTGAAAAATGACTCAGCCGTGCTGAGCAAGCATTTCTTAAATTTTTCAGTGTTTCCAAGTTTCCAAGAATACATTTTTCTGTCAGCTACTCCTGCAGGCATGGTGTGCTTTCTTCTTGTGTGGGGACAGCATGCTAAGCCAGGATGTGGCAAAGATGTGAAATGCTGTGAGTTGGCTGAAATATGGCACTGTGCTATCTGCACCTCTGATTCTCTTCTGGTAAATAATTGATTGCAATACTCTAGCTTCTTCACAGAGCAGTTAGACCTGCAGGTGAAAGAGCAGGAAGGACAATGTCGCATATATCCACGATTATGACAATGGTGAACCAGCAAACCAGTGCATGGATGAAGTGCCAGATGTCCAGCCTGCCCTTCCATCATCTATCTGTCCTTCTCTGTTCATCTACTGCAGAGGGACTTGAGCCTTGTAAGGGCAGGAGAGCAGTGTCAGGCAGGATGCCTTCATCAGTGTCCAGGAACAAACTGGCTAGGTGGCTGTATATCCAGAGCTCTGTGGAAAAATTAGCTGGTGCTATGCAGACATGGCTTCAGATCCAGCACGCAAGTAAACAAAACAACTGTATTAGAAACAGCTGGCGGTGAGGATGAAACCGAGCATTATTAGGGATATGTTTGTAATAACTTATGTTCTGGGTAATGCATTGTTGCTGTTCTCAGCCCTCCTGGAGACAGATGCTGGAGACCATTGCTTTTGTAGCCTTCATTACAGCCACTGGTTTTCCTGTTCATGTATCTCTTTTTCCAGTCATTACTGGAAAACCTGACAGCATGCTCTGAGATGCAGCTGCCAACATGTGACTTTTTTCAGGAGCCAGAGTCATCTTAAAGGCATTGGCCACAGACCGGTCTGCAGTTCCAGAGCTGCTGCTCGAGTGAACACATACTCTGCCCAGAGCCAGGGCATTGCTTCAGATGCTGTTGTACCTTTGGGAATGTAACCCCTCATCCTGAGGGAAGTTCTGCAGATTTGGAGAGCTTTTGTGGATTCCCTGGCTCAGTTTTCCTGAGGGATTCCCTTCCCTCAGGAAGGAGGGCTCAGTTTTCCAATTCCTTCACCTTTACTATTTTCACCTGTCCTGGGGAATACTGAGAAAGCTGAAAATGTCTGCTGGTGGCACCATCCCCACTGGTGTCTGTCCTTGCCTCTCCTGCACACAGCCAGGGCACTGGGGCTGTTAGCAGCAAACTGTCCGCCTGCAGCTCTGGATGTGATCATCTTTTAAAATCATAGAGCTTTCTCCTGGTTTCCATGTATATTGCCTGTGAGATATACAGAGGTAGGAAAGTGATTTAAGTTGCACTGAGCCCTCAGTGTAGTAGGATAAGTTAATAGCAAAGTCTCATTTCTTTAATGCAGAGTGTGTGAAGTCTTGCTTACTTGAACACAGAAAGAATTCAGCAACTAAAATTCTAAGTGCTTTTCTGATGCAAAATTCTCCCTAAAAATTCTCTTAGGACTGTGTTCCAAAGCCTACTTAAATGCGTTTACATCAATTTCTCCTCCTTTTTATATCTCCCTCCATTTTATTAACCTTTCAGGACTTTTGAAGTAGTGAAATTCTCAAATTTGATGAATTGACATGAGTTGACTGTCTGTATTTTGATTTCACAAGCATATCTCTTTTGATGCTAATGATATTAATTTATCAGCCGTAAGGGTCTAGCTCTTAGTGCTTTTATGTAAATTGTAGACTTTTCCAGACTCACTTTAAGAAACATGAAACTTGGAGGAAATACATGCTTTCATCTGATCTACCCTTCTTGTCCTCTTTTGCAGGCTCATTCCGAAATGATGGCTTAAAAGCTGCTGATGTCCTTCCTATACTGAAGGAGAAAGTGGCCTTCGTATCAGGTGAGCGCATCCTTCCTGGTTCCCTCTATCCCAGCACAAGCACTGGCTGCTGCATGCTGGTCCTTATGGTGCACAAGTTTGTTTGTGCACCATATGGTTCATGTTTGGATGGCAGTACTTAAATTAGCTCTTCTGCTAAAAAAAATAAGGGCTATATGCAGAACAGGGCTACCCAGTAACACCCAGAGAGCAGGAAATTGGCCCATGGTGGTCTTCTTCATATTCTGAGAAACAGGTAAATGGGCAGGACAGGAGGCATAAAATACAGATTTTTAGCTCCAACCCAGACCTGGGCTGTTTCAGGACTCAGAATGGTTCAGGTCAGGGATCCAGCCTGAGTTCAGGGTCTTTGAATCATCAGTGTTTGTCTTGCTATCCCAGTCTGCAGTAGAAGTACCACTGATGCTATATTCACAGGGGAAGAGAACACGTGAACCAATTGCAAACTTGCATGAAGTCATTCAAACTGCGTTATAAAAAGTGAGTATTTCCAGTGCCAGCATTTTTGCCAAGGGCAAGCCATTCAATCAGCTTTTGGTGATCTTGCCTAATGCAAGAAGAAAGTTAGCATCAAGCAGTTATCCTGCTCTTCCCTTTTTGCTTTCACTGCTCCAAAGAGAGGGGTGTCATAATAAAAGCAGTGTACCTGAAGATCTGCTTGTGACATGAAGCTGAACTGGGTGCTCTGTAGAAGCAAAAGATAGGATGGCTTCAGATGGAATATTTAATAAGAACAGCTTGTCTGTATTGTTTATGTAGCCCTTCCCTTATGGTGCCTGAGTTCATCTCAGAGCCAAGGCATCTCACATCAACCCATCAACTCATTACATGCTGTTCTGGTCCATACTTGCCTTGTATGTGTGGAGGAGGGCTGAATGAGCTGTGCCAACACACCTCAGGGTTTTCTTACCATGATCTGCAGCAGATGCAGGTTCTCATAGACTCACCATGCTCAAAATATTCCTGTTCCTGGCCCAGCTCACTAGACAACAGCCCCAGCATTTCTACCTGCTCTCCAAGCTATTCAAATGCAATGGCTATGTGCAACAGGTATCTGGGGCCTTTGAAGACAGAATGTGCTGAGGCTCTAGTGTATTACAGTAGCCCCAGCATCACCCTCCAGCACAGAGTTTAACTGCTCCAACTTTCCCAGGGCTGGTGGAAGCAGATGAAGACAAGAATTGGAGTGCTTCAGCTGATTGCTAGGTTTAATTAAAATGGAATAACTTCCTAGAATATTCTTTGAGCACATCACAGAAATTTTGCCAAAAAGAAAAATCAAATTACTGAACTTTGTGAAAATATATATATATATATATCTCCCAGCTGTAGTTAGCACAGAGTCTGCGAGCACATTGCATTTGCAGTCAGACTTCCTGGAGGAAAAGCAGAGTTTTATTGAGTCTTCTTCAGAGTTTTACACTACAGTTAATTTTAACAATAAGAAAACAGTGAAGTTGTCAAGGAGTTCATCTTGTCCTTACACCAGCAGAATTTATCAGTACACAAAGCATTCTGCTGAACATTTCAGTTGCATGTTTTTGTTGTTTTTTTTTTTTTTCTTTTCTCATCTGCTCTAACTCACCACCTTGTCTTTTCAGCCTTGAAGTGGCAGAGAACAAATGAGCTCAGGATGGCACAGCTGCACTGCTCTGTGTTTCAGCTTTGTGCACACCCCATACTTTAACCATGCAGAACATGAGGACAGCAGGCAGGTCACCTGCCCACACCACTGTGCAACCTCAGGGCCACTCTCAAGCTTGCAGAAGTGCACTTAAATTCCAAATTGAAATACAGCTCTAATTAGCTGGGCACAGATTCACCCAGCCTGAATTATGCCTGGGGCTCAGTGCTGGTGCTTTCTCCTTGCTGGCTCAGCCAGTGGCAGGCACAGAGCTTTGCATCAGCATCACTGTGCCAAGGGAAGATTTAGGGATGGATAATGGTACAGTTTTCTTCCTGGAATTGGTTCTTGACTTCTTCCAGTGACCCTACTGGACTGAACTCAAGCAAAGTTCATATGTCTGTATATCTAAATAGCACCTGAAAATCCCATTCCAACTCTAATAAGTGTGAAGAGAGACTGAGCAGTCACAGTACATCCCAGCCATCACAGTCTAATTGCTTCCGTCAGTGGCCTTGTTGCAGCAGATTAAGCTAGGGGCAGGAGGAGGCTTTGGCCACCTGCTTGTTGCCTAAACCCTGATAAAATCTTGGCTTTGCCTGTATGGTTCACTGTGTCACTTCCAGCAATGGAATGGCTTTGGGAACCATTAGGGAGCCAGCTACAAGCCAAAGGCTGATTGTTATATTCTGGGAAGGAGATGAGCACAGAAGAAAGGAAATAAAACAGGTTGTAGATTATTTTGGTGGATTTTTTTCAGTGAGAGGTGGTGAAAATGATATTTTGGAAGCTGTGGCTTCAGCCTTTCCTGGGAAACACAGATGCTGCTTTGGAAGGAAGGTTAAACTTGGGGTGCTGTTCAGCTGCTTGATTATATTCCTAGCAGATTTTCTGTTGTCAGTGCAGCATAGAAGGAAGTGGATGAGACCCTCAGGAGAGGGAGAGGTACATGTTAAATGTTGGAGCTTCTCATGCACTTAGGCTGTGTAAAGATTTTTAGTTCATTAATGCAGGGGGATATGCTGAAACTATTTGCCCTTTCCTTACATCCCACCCAGAAGAGTTTGCAGGATCTCTCCCAGCACTTTCTGAGAGGATGGTTGAGCATGGAAGAATCAGCAGCAAAAGGCAGAAGGGCGTAATAATTTGGTGATTTGGTGATAGGGGCACAGTGACATCTGAGCCTGAAGGGAAAACAGAGATTTCCCAAAAGGTCCTTCCGAGGGAGAAGTTCAGTGTAAATAGATCAGATGAAAGGACAACTTTGCAATTAGGTTTTGCTAAATTTAGGCTGGCGGGATGAATCCAAATTTCTGAGACTGGAGTCTGGGAAAAGTTTGCTCTGAGGTAAAGACTGTTAGAAGGGGAGACAGTGACCCTCTCAAAAACCACGTCTCAAGTCCCAACAGGTTGCTTAGTGCCAGAAATGCAATCCTAAGGCCCTCTGAATGCTGGAAGAGTTCAGATCCAGGTTTCAGGAGGTCCCCAGTGATGATATGTGGACACTGGAATTTGTATTGGGAATGGAACTAACCAAAATATTTAAATTTTGAATGATGTAAACATTTTGTGTTTGCACAGATAGTTTTGATTCAAATTTTATTAGTTTCTGTTCTCCTCTTCCTCTGGAGTGGAAATTTCAAATGTAGCATCAACAATTCTTCTATATTTTGTTAGAAAAAAACATCTTCTTGTTTATACCATTCCCTGACATAGCTTGGAATCAAGGGAAATTCCAAAGAGAGGAAATATGCTATTAGAAATACATAACATTCCTTGACTATTGAATTCTCCTTGTGGTTTTAGTTCATCATCCTTTCATCTAAAATTTGCTGCTGCATTGATACAGATATTTCTTTGAAAAAGAAAATGAGGCAGTTTAGACTGTAAACTTTCCATGTCTTTTTATGAGATCTGAGGCTGCACGTTTGTTTAGGTTGGTTTTGTTTCTTTTGCTTTTTAAGATGTTAGGTCATTTGTGAGGACAGAGAAGAGCCTTTACCCATGGGGACTGTATAGTTATCATCATCAGGACCCTAAGATTAGAGAAGAAATCAAAAAGTTCTGTGGGATTTCTGATTTCACTTACAGTTGTGATGATACACAGATAACACATTACTAGTATGCAGAATTAGGTGCAGTTATTTTTTCTATAAGTCTTAACTATGGCAATGGACTACATGAAGTGATTTCTGTGGAAAGTGTGTAGTCATTGCAAACACTTACTGTCCTGACTCACCAAGATCCACCACCATCTCCTTACAGCAGGGATATTTCTCCTTTATGTATTTCCTTATAGCATGGGTGAAAGTAGAGATAGTTGCCTCGTGGAGACACAAAACAGTTCAAGTCCCTTACAAAAATAGACAGAAAATCAACCCAATCACAGTATTTATCTGAAAAGGCCCATAAGAACTTATGGGATGTAAATCACACTATGAGGGCAATCCAGACACACTGGACTCCTCACCACGTCCTTGAACAGAGCACGTGGGTCCCTGCATCCAGTCATGTGGGTTTAGCTTTTAAATTAGTGATAAGGACTTTTGAAATAACAATAAGAGGAAGGAACTAAGCCCATGAAGCAAGAAGATCTGTATACATCCCATCCTGTTCCAGCTCACAGGACTTTCTACTCCCAAAAGACACAGTGAACTCCACATGTTTCACAGCAAAGGTCTCTTCTTCATTTACACAGGCAGGTAAGAGATGTTCTTATGCAGAAATGCAGCTTGGGAGTCTATTAAACAACACAAAGAAATAGGGAGACAACTGTAGCATCTGAGATAGTTAATATGATAACAACCAAATGTTTTTGTAATTTTGCAGTAAGGTGTGCACTTGTATCCCACTGATAAGACTCATCTCATCTGAAAACATTCTTATTTCTGTTAAAGTACTTTGGTTCATAGGCTTATGGTGTTATTTTGTGTTTGTTTTTGTTGTTTTTTTTTTTTTTTTTAATTTTTCCCTTAGGAATCAGTTTTAATGTACAAGAAGCACTGAAATTCACAACTGGGTATCCCCTCTGTCTTAGAAAATGGCTGGTTTTTTAATGTATCTCTTTGTAGGAAAATATAGACTAATTTAGGTGGAAATATTCTTCTGAAATGTGCCATTTCAGAAACATTTTTGTCTGATGCTGCTTTCCAACTCTAGGTCAAATTTCTTCCTTAAGCCAGAGAGGAAAAAGACTTCCTCGTAGCAACTATTAAGCCTGATATTTTGAACTTTCCCCCAAACTTCCATTAGCTTGCAGGAGCCTCTACTTGACTGTAGCTGCTGAGGACTTCTCTGCTGTGACGTGGCAAACCTAGCAGTCAGTTGTGTTGAATCCATTCATTAAATTATTCAATTTGCTGATGTGACATGAGAA